TATATATAAAAATTATATTAATACTAACAATAAAAACTAACGGAAACATAGCACAAAATCAAGCAACAAATGATACTCAATTTTTTCTTTTTTAATACTAATAAAAGGTGAACAATATGTGTTGCTTGTTTCAATGTTATTATTTAATGCACTGACCGTTTAGATATACATATATCATGGAAGAATTTACTATAACTTAGAAAAATGTGTGATTATTAGATTCATTCGAAGTATGTAATTCGATTTAAAGAGACACGCGCGCGCGATAAAAGTATTTATTGAAATATTAATTTGTGTGACATTTATATTTACTAATGTGCCAATGTGTTATTGAGAAACTATTACTGCGTCGTGACATGTTCATATTAGTTAGGTATTGAAGAGTTGTGAATTTGTTAAGATATATTATTATTAGACGTAATCGTTGAATTAACAAATCCGAATCTTTGAAGATTTTAGTAGATGTTCATATTATAATTACTTACAATAGTATACATATATATGTATACTATGTTTGATGTGTGCGAGAAGGAATAATCGGAGTTAAGTGAATTACACTTAACTTATACATGGTCATATGCATTGGTGCGTTATTTTTTGCGTGCTTCTTTTAACATCACAAATGCTAGATCTAAAGGCCATTTCACTTTGAAAAGTGACTAATATTATAATGACAAGATGTTTGTATCGCGGTTGGTATTTATATCTATAGAATTATCAACTATATTGACTACAAGGGATTACCTTATATCTATCAATAAATTAATCGATAAATATTTGGGATATAAGTTAAACAAGTACTTCAACAATCAGAATCTATACTGTTGTACGTTCCAATAACGAGTTATACTTCGATAGAACAGTGACTTTGACTTTACATTCTAATTACATATCCCTTATGACTTATCGAATTTGTACCAATCGCTATCTAAGAAAACCCAGTTGTACAAGCGAACCGAGGAAGAAAGCATTGATTGCTAGTTTTTCGTATGTAATACATCTATGTATCCAACAACGAGATATCCTAAATTGATTTCCTTTTAAGAGAAACGTGATCTCAGAAGAGTGGAAGATCTACGAAATTTACGATTTGGTCGGTTCCCATTCGACGATTAAAACATAGCGATCTTTAACGGGAAATTCTGTTAGCGATAACGAATTAAAAAATGCGTTTAATGATCCTTCAAACGGTGGACGTCTGTTGATTGTTATTATCCAAGGGAATACTCGTCGAACATTCTTTCAGCATCGCCCTTAACCGAAGAATCTCTTTTGATGCTGCTGCCAAATCAGATTGCAATTGTAGTTCTTTCTCTCGAAGGCGTTTAATGTCGCGTTGACATGTCTGTTCGAACAAAGTAAAATAATTTCAATTACAAATATGTTCCATTAGAATAGTAGTAAGTAATACCCGAGAAAATGTTTTTATTTTTATTATAAAATGTCGAGAATGAGAATAATAAAAAAAAAAACTAAATATATTTAATGAAAAATATCTTTCACATACGAAAGAATTTGTTAAACCTACCACATTTTGCCTTAATAAGTCCAACTTATCGCACTTAAGTCTAGTAACTTCCATCCTTAAAGTTTCGGTTTCCGCAGCACCGTCTTTGGCATTACACCTCGTAATGTCGTGCGTTTCCGCGGAACTCATAGATTCAAGACCAGTGTCGCTGTCCGGATAAACCGCTTGGTCAAGTTCAAGCTCGCTATTAAGCGAACTATCGTCGCTCTCGGAAACAACGCGTTGAGTTATTTCGGTTTTTTCTGTTCGTTCCTGTCTTCTTAAATTTTCATGAGTTAATCGTTGAATTGAGGATACCGTAGTAACCTTTTCCATGATCGTGGAATCATTTGTACCAATTCCTGTACTAGATTCTCTACGATCTACCTCGTCCTGTTGTAATGTAGCCAAACTACTGTCCTGATTGTCCGTATTCGATAAGCTACTGTCTTGACTTCCCAAACTAGGGCTACCTCTTTCGGAATCCCTTCGTAAAGTTAAATCGGGTGAACCCAATGGACTTGATGGTTCAACTGATCGTTTTCCACTGATTTTACCGTTGGATTGTCGATTACTCGGTGGACTTGGTTCAGAATGAGAACCTTTTTTAGCAAGTTGTTGCGGTACACTTTCGGTCGATGCGTTTCTCACTCGGGATATTAATGCTTTCCGTACTGTGTCGATAAATCTCGAGCCAGTACCTCCACCACCGGAAGCTGATGAATCACTCGCAGTTGGACTGACAGGACAATTCGCACCGAATCCTAAATTACCTCCTAGGCCAATGGTACCACCTAAGAATTCCGCTGTCTTCGCTTGTAATCCTTCCGTTAAGGATTCCAATAGAGCAGATCTAGTTCGCAACTGATTATCATATCGTAGAGATTAGTAAACGTATATATGTTTAAAATGATATTAAAATAGAATAATAAACTGTGACTTACTTCTAGTTTAGAAAACTTTTCAGCTTTGTAAGCTGCATTTTCAGCGTTCACTAATTTTGTTAAAAGAAATTCTTTAAATTCGACGCCTCTGAGGAAGACAGCAGGTGTTGGTAAGGCTGGGCCGAACCAAGGAACATCATCTCTCGCCGTTATACTCACTTTATATCTATAAATAATAAATATTACTTGAATATACATTTTCTTTTTAAAGAATTTTATTTAAACTATTTCAAATGATATATATTGTACCTACCTTGTGTTAGGTGTACATGGATCGACGACCTGCACGACGATAAAAGCATGCAAAAAGTGACTGGCGATCATATCTGGACTGAAAGGTGTAGGTTCCTCTTGGAATATAATCGCCACGATGTCATTACCAATATGTCTCTTGCGTTGTAATTGTTGAGCATCACCTGGACTATATGGTAAAAGCGATGCTACATGAAAGAGAACTTCTCGGCCACGAAATACTTCGTAGACCGCGGAATCACCTGTTTGACCATGTCGAGTATCCAAACCTCCACGGTATCTACAAATTTAAATATTGCATTGAGTAAACCTATTAAATTCTTGTTAAAATTAGAGCGTGTATAATTATATGACGATATACAAACCCTTTATGATCTTTCAAGTCGATCTTTTGGCCTAAAAGATCAAGAAATTCTTGGAAAGCTGGTGTCATCTGGCGATTGCCAAAAAGTTGTTCCTCGGTCAGCTGCCCAGCGCGTTGATGAAGTACACCGAATTTGAATCTCGAGACGAGTGCATGCTCATCATATTGAGCTATCAAAGTGCCAGCCCCTGAACATACCACTGGCATTAAAGTGTTCACGTTCAAGGAGTCGTTGATTGCCTGAAAAAAGAAAAAAAAAAAGTCACGACGGTCATATTTCTCTTTCTCTTTCTCTTTCATCGCGTACTTTTGTACTATGTTAACGGTGATTTATTTTCGTCAATTCGACACATGTGATATTACGTCGCTCTCGTACGAGTCAAAAAATTCTAAGTTGTTAAATTACTCACGATTCAAAGTGATATTTGTCTTATTAACCCCTATCATACAAGACTGAGACTTCAATAAAAACGAATAAGCGATTCTCATTAACAATATGTATGCTCTTTTTATTTCTTTTCGATTTAAAATATAATTTATTTCATATCTTCGATATCAAAGCAAATGTATCAGGATCATTGTCATTTATTTATTTATTTATTTGGTTGATAAAAAAAATAATTCTTTTACCTTGACCATTTTTGCTGGTGAAGGAGTCGGTCCAAGAGTGGTTGCTGAGACTAACTCGTGCGTTGAACCAGCACGTAATCTTAGCAATACCCGCCAGTGTTCTTGTCCAGCGACCGTCTCGGCCTTCACTGAAACAAGGACCGGCCCATTCTCGCTGTCTCTTCCTATCAAGTTCACATGTTCCTACGAAAAAATGAGAAAAACAAAATTAAACCTTTTTATGATCGAATCAGGAATGACTGAATCAGTGATTCCTAAAACTAATTATTCTACAAAATTTAAAAATTAAGTATTAAATATATTTGGATTGTCTACAAAATTTCATTTTTTTTTTTTACTAAGGTTTACACGAACAATATTTTTGTAATGTTTAAAATTACTAAAATAAGACAAAAAAAAAAAGAAAATTCTTAAGACGAGCTAACACAATTAAATTTCATACACGTATACTAAAAATATATATATATATATGGTTTTGTGTGAATATTATAATTTTATGTAATATGTATAAATAGTTCTCTGTTTTTTATTTTTTTTAAATTTAATGATTCATTTCAATTTTGATTAAAATTCAATATTTAAATATTACGATTATCTCCGGATAATTTAATACTTTTTAAATGATTCAAGATAATGTGAAATAGATTTTATTAAAGCTACAATATAGTAGTGTTTGATGAATTAAATTTGAGTGTTATTAGGCGGAGAAAAGAGTTGTAATATCCGTTGTTTGTTTCTCTTTCTCTCTTTTTCTTTTTTTTTCCTTTTTTTTTTTTGTAATACGCAACTAAAAAGGTGATAGAAGAGGCGTGTGGTGTTTTAATAAGTCGTGATATAGAACGGATTACGCGTTGGTATTCGAGGCGACCGCTAATTAGAGGAACGATATTGCGCATAATAAAATCGCTCTTTTAATGGGCTCTGCTTAACCGCACAATGCGATCGCATGTGGAGATAGGTGTGTGGTGTGGTGTATGCATGCATCCTTTCGATAGTAGCCTTTTGTTCGTAAAAGATCGTAACCTTTTCGAAGGATTATTAAAAAAAAAAAAAACAGAACAAAAAAGGAATAAAAAAAAAAAACAACGAAAGAAACAAAGATGAGAAAAGAAAAAAGAAAACTCGTTAGGTCATTGGGAATGAAAAATAACAGTGAAACGGCAATGCCAATACAACAACAACAGTGAAAATTATAAATATATATATATCGATTGAGACAAATAATATTTTATAGATTAAATTTGATATCTCGAATATATAAATATAAGAAAAAATTTGTCTTCTCACATTGTGTCTTTTTTCAAGTTTAGCGAAGCTGACACACACATGAGGCCCCCCCATTAAAACTTATCGTATTATTGATGAGATATTTATGACACAATCCTTTGGAGTTCTTTTAAAAAAGGTTATCGAAGAGGCACCGATGATTAATTGAGATAGAATAAATAATTGGGATGAACGTTTTTCGTCGTAATAATTGCTATTGAAAAATGATTTGAGAAAAGAGTTTTGTTGAATTTTTTTTAACTAATAATTTTTTCTTTCTTTTCTTTTCCTAGCGTCTCCCCACCCACCGTCGAACGCACATCCGGTGATAAGAAATTTGTAGTTACACACTTATGTATATATACAACACACTCGAACGTAATAAAAGGAAATGAACTTCTTCTTCTTCTTCAACAAGGATATATTATCATAAAATAAAAAACGAAAGCGAAACTGGATGAGATCCGACCATGATACATACATACATACATACAATATACACTACTATTATACATAGGTCATATTTACGATTAATATGTATATTCTTTATGGCTTGATACAAATCGCTTTTCGTTCTCTATGACACTTAGCGCAGTGCAATTATTTACTGCCACTTTTGAACAATGGCGACGAACTCGAGCACGTTGTTGCCGCGCGAATAAATGAGTTCACGCGTATATTATAATCTCGCTCGCGTTAACGTTACCTAACACGAGTTTTAAGTTCGCGGTAAAAATAGAGGTAACCCAGGTGCACGCTAGACAAAAGGTAACAGGTGAACTTTCTTAGATAAGAATGAACTATAAAAGAGAATGGGAAAATGCACTTTTAGTTATTTATACTCATCGACGTTTTTAACGATCTAAAGTCTTATTATTATATCTTTTTATTTCGTGTCTGCCATTTTTTTTTTCTTCTTTTTTTTATTTCATATTTTACTTTCATTCATATCTATTTATTTGTATTATTTATAGTAACATCTACTTTTTCTAATAAGTATTTTTATTATTTATAATATAATACTCTTGTGTATTATCATTTTTTTAATACTATAAATATGCTTTTATTTATGTATAGAAATAGTACATGTATTACAGAGTAACACGTATTATTAATTATTATCTATAAAAAAAAAAAAAAACACGAGTCATTGTTAGGATACGATGAAAATAAAAGTTGGTTAAAAAAAAATGTTTATTTCTTTTTCTATTCGAAGAAAAATAAATAATAAGTGTAAGAAAGAGGTTGGGGGAAGGGGAGGGGAGGGTGTAGGTCGCGGTTATAGACGGAAGAGAAGCTAGCAAGGATGAATATCAGGAACACTGTTGAAGTAAAAGGGTAGGGGTGGTATTTTTTCTGGTTGAAGAGGCATCGTCTCTTCTTCGAGACTATGAGAACATTCCCACTCCCACGCCCGAAGTGCTCTTTTCCTTTTCCTGCGCCTTTGCCACCATCTTTATCTTTCCCTTCCTCTCTTTCTTCCTTTATTTTACTCAAACCATAATCTCCATCTCACTTCAACTTCACATAAAACTTACGTACGTAGTACGTACGTTTACGAGCAGTATATATATGTTTGGTGCTGTTAGGCCGATGACCATCTTTCTTTCAAGGTCATTACGAAAGAACGAATTCTTTGACAAAGTTGGAAAAACAAGAAGAAGAAGAAGAAAACAAAATGAAATCGCGTTCATCGTTACCTAATTATCCAATTTTGTGAACAATAACAACACACATGTTTTAATAAAAATAATCAAATTATTTATGGCATGTGTTAAACATTAGCTGTTATCATACTTTTAATCTATTAAAACCTAAGGGAATATTTTGTGAAATATATTTACGTACTCTGCCAACGAAGAAACGTCTGTAACACTTAGCAGTGTCATCCTGATCTATCCTGGGTTGCCAGGCTGGTTGAGCAGGAAGCAATGCTCTTCCTGCCGAATCCAAGGTATGTCGATGATCGGTTCCGTCTAGCCAATAACCAGGTGGCGTTACTACTAGGGGAGGTTCCTGAGAGCCGGAAGTGGCCTGTTGAAGTGCGGCTTCCATAAGGGCTCGTCCAAGAGGTATATCGCCGACAGGAGAGGGCGATGGAGATGAAGATGAGTGATTGTTTTGTCCACCTGCACCACCTGGACTCGAGGCAGCTCGTTCGTCTCTCGCTGTCTGGAAAAATAAAAATTAAATTACAATTTAATACGATTATCTATTACATTTTCATAATAATCATTTTCTTTTTAATTCTTAATCTATAGAAATATATTGATTTTATTTTTTATCAATTTGTAATATTATTTTTAAACATAATTTTTTGATTTCTTATAAAAGAAACGCGAAATAAAATGTGTAATTTATTGTTATCTGTGTATTTAATAATATTGTTTTATGATTATTTATTAGTGATTATTTTACTTCACACAATTTATTAATCTATTTATTTATTTTCTATGATATAATAGTTTTGATAATATATTATTTTATCTGGATAAATTATTTTAGTAGAAAAATAAATGAAATTAATTTATAATGGTATAAAAAATGATATTATATCGTAGTAATTTTCTTCTTCGCAATTTAGTAATTTCTTACGATGGAATTGATTAACGCGAAAGAAAGGGGGTTCGTGGTGAATCGTTTCTAATGTGTTAAAAGAAACAAGCGAAGTTCTTCGGAATATTGGTGACTTCCGCAATGATTCTTAAGTTACAGGAGGAACTTGCTGCGAATGGCTTCTTTCTTCTTCGCCTAGTATTCCTTTATATCGAAAATAGAAACACGTAAGGCGCGTTACCGTGTGTTACCTCGGTTCCAACTCTCGAATTGAAAAGAAACTCGTAAACGTCCGCATCGAAGATCGATCGTTAAAGTTTTTTTGTTAAATAAACGTAGAGGGGCTTCTAAGCTTTTCATTTTCTTCGTTATAGTCGTTGTCATTAGTTCCTAACGTTATCGCTAAAATTTGTTAGAAAATTACTTAACAAATATCGGTAGGAGGAAGAAACAACCAGCTATTTCTTTTTTTTTTTTTTTTTCTATTTTACTATCGTCCTTCAAACTCAGTCATTTTAACAATAATGCCAAACAAACACACATAATTGAAGTTTTACACATTTTAGAATATTAAAGATAAATGTACATTATTTATCTGATTTAGTAATAATTAATGTCATTTTTGTATCATGCGTTCGAGTAGTTATTTAGCGATAATCTAAGCAATATAATCTAAACACATTCAATATGAACAAAGAATATGAAGTTTAGTCAACGCGTTTTGCGCATTATAACTGTTTTTTTCTTCCTCTTTCAAATTTAAACATTTGAAGACAACAAAGTGGTGGATGAATGAACATGTTAAGCACCGCATGTTTTATGAATTTCAATGGAAGAGAAAAGTACAGGATCCTTGTATAAAACGTTTACAATGACACACTTGGATGAAAGTGTCGTTCAATTAATCGAAAAAGTCAAAATGTTAAAACAAGTTTCAATTAAAGAAACTTTTCATTAGAAGTGTATCCAATTTTGATCAAAAAGTGCTACAAGCCTTTTTATTCTATAATCTTGAATCAACCAAACACAAAAAAGCTTGTTACAGTATTTAAATTGTACTCAAAAATTCATTTGCAACCAGTGACAATCGTTTGACAAGATTCGAAAAACTTGAAAAATGGATTCTCAGTTAGGTCAACGTGAATCAACATTAATTATTACTAAATCTGATATAATTTTCTTAAATATTGTTAAACAATAAGATAGTATCGATAACAAATAAACGTTTTAGGTGTAGAAAATGAATATCAAATAATCTTTATGCAAACAACACGTGCGGAGAATTGATCAATAAAAAGACCATAGAATGAAATAATGGATTTTAAATCCAAGTTATAAATCGGGAAAGATAATCTTCGAATAAGCGGAATATGTACGATCGAACACGTTTAACGTTTGATTAAAATTTAATTTCCTGCGTTGATGGCGAGCGCACGCGAACGTCGTTTGATTTGAAAGAGGATGGAAGGGGGAGGGGAGGGGAGGGGAAGGGAAAAGGTCGAAGGTAAGCGACAAACGACCACAAGCTAGCAGTATAGTTATGATCAATGTGTCTCAACGTTACTGACATTCGACTGTGTTAATAGAACGTAATCAACGATGTCGTACGTACGGGGGGTTCTGAATACGTTTCGTTTCGTTTAGTTTCTCACTCTCCCTTTTCATATGATTTCTATCTATCTCACTCACTCTCACACACTCTCTCTCTCTCTCTCTCTCTCTATCTTTCTCTCGTGTCAGTGTATATCGTGCACGACACCTGCCTAAAAGGCGCCATATGCGCCTTCCTTATGCACCTTTCAATGTTCGTGGAACGTGCGTTCCAACACGCAATACCGTGTTCTTCGTTTCTCGTGACCCTAACTTTCGTCTGAACGTTTCTACCTTCAGTGTGTCACCGCGTGCATTCATGTACACGGAATAATCAGGAAACCGACATCCGTCGACGGACAAGCTACGTTTAAACCGTCTATTAAGAGAACTCTCTAAAGGTGTTTTTTTTTTTCTTATCATGGAATTTAATACGATCCTTATATTCCCTTTATTCTTCCACTTTTGGTTGTCTTATTTTCATATAAAAAATTATAAGAATATATCTAATACAAAATGATTATACCTATAGGGTATAGAGTTATATTAAAACAAAATGACGTTGTAAACATTTCAAAATGCAATTTCCAATCTTAAATTACATTTGATTATTTAATGATGATCACGATTGATGTAAAAATTGATAACTTTAATATTGAAGTTGGGATCGACGATGGAAGGAATCTGTACGCGGTTTTCTCTTGGTAATTCTCCAAGTTAATATTAGTCGGTTAGTTATCTGGCACTAACGAAGTTTGTGCAAGCTGAACAAGAGAGAGAGAGAGAGAAAGAGAAGAAGAGGAGGAGGAGGAGGAGGAGGAGGAGAAAGAGGAAGAGGAATACCGATTTCGGTGGGAAACGAAGGAAGACTGTTCTTCGGTCGTCACGTACTGCGTTACGCACACACACACGCATATATATAAACTGATACATACACCTGCATATACTTAATTTACAAAATAAATCGAAATTCAGTGGCGTCAATCGAATGCTCTCGACAATTATTTGCATTCCTATTTTAGCGTTACTCTATTTTGAGTAGAAAGAGAAAGAAAATCTCTCCTGCTGGGCAAGATGGAGAAGGAATCATTGGAATCAAGCAACTTGGTGTATATAACGTGCACAAACGGAAACGAAGCATGTCGACGAAGACGACGACGAAGAATCACCAACGTTACGCAGAGCATATGTTATTTTGAGCAGGTGGTACGCGTACAGGGAAAAGCCTCTATTATTTTCGACAACAGAGAAAGAGAGAGAGAGAGAGAACCACCAAAGAGAAGAGAAAAAATAAAAATAATATAAGAAATCATCTTTTCTCTACTTCTGTCGACTTTAAAAAGACTTGGTGGTTTTTCTAGAAGATCTTTTTCTTATTCTATATTATATACTTTCAAATCCTTTCTTCTTTTTAATAATATTACGAACAATGTATTGTATCTATTGTTCGATTACAATAAATAAAAATATAACTAGATGGTTGATATCTTTATAATATAATGTTGAAATAATTTTAATCTTTTTTATAAAGAGTAAAACGTTAATTCAGATTTTCTTTAAAGTTTAAATATTTATTTTGGATTACTGTTGTATCATGTATGGTATTGGTAATTATAATAATGAACTGAGTCAACAAATTTTCTGAACATTCATTTTTTTTCGATTTATTTTATAATATGAATAATTGTAATAGAAAATATATGAGAGTATACAAATTTATTCATTTTTTGACTTATTGTTAGTCCAATGTTATAATTACCAGAGATATATACAGTGAATCACAAAAGTATTTGAACACTTACTTACATCATTTATGATTAAATGATGATAGTTATGATACTCGAAGTATGGAGTTCCATATCATCAAGTGTTACAAAAAAAATTAGTAAAGAGTATGCATAAATCGTTTACAAGATGTTTCATTCGTACCAAATGTGGGTCTACTAAATATTAAAAATTATCTGTTAAATACTTTAGTGGCTTAAACAATCTTAACGTTTGTAAGAAATAAATCATAACTATTGTATATATATAAATATTTCGATTTGCTTGAAACTTTACTTATATAATCTAAAGAGTCATACCTCCAAAGGTATGTAAATGTTGTAAAATATACTTATTATAATTAATAAAATATATCATGGCAAGTGTTCAAATACTTTTATGAGCTATACTGTATATCAATAAGATATCAAAAGATAAAAAATGTATTAAAGATTTGAATAAATATTTTCTAGAACAGATTGGTATCTCTTTAAAAGATTATAAGAACTATTAAAAGAAAGTATTAAGATTTCGCAGTCGCGTAAAAGCGGCAAGGCGCGAGTTATTCCACGAGATCGACAGCAGTATCTGAGAGCTAAAGATAGATCAACGGGTGGGGAGTGCAAACGAGAGCCGAGTAAGCTTTTCGGTTGACTTTTTGTATTCTGGCAAAGCGTTTTCCCGGCCTACCATCATCGTGTGTCTCGTACCTTCTTCTTCTTCTTTTTTCTTTTCTTTTCTTTTCTTTTCTTTTTCTCTTTCTAGCATCCAAAAGTAAAGCCCTTCATCAGGGTTTATATTTGGCAATGAGCACGAGCGCGCAAACACCCCCAAATCTAAACTTTCTATTTCTCTCTCTCTGTTCTTCCATCAATTCATTCTTTTCTATACTTTTTTTTTTTTCTCACAAGCATCCATTTCTTTTTCTTTATGCTTTACTTCTCTCTTCTTTCTTTTCTTATCTTTTGAATACACAAGAAGAAGTCGCGTGAGGTTTTCGAATTTAGAAGACACTTAAAATTAGTAGAAGAGAACTTCTTCTTCGTTGCTCCGGATTTTTTCAAGGAAGTCTCTAACGTAATTCGAGATTTCACATCCGCATTACTTTTAACTTCTTCTTCTTCCTCCTTTTTTTTTTTTTTTTTTCTTCTTCCCTTTTCTATATATCTTCTTATTCTTTTTCTCGTGTGTAAATCCTACCCCACGTCATCACCTTACCTTCTTCTTCTTCTTCTTCCGTCTTAGCCCGATCCTTTCTTATT